ATTAATTTTTTTTTAAAATTTTTATAATTGGCTATCCAGACGTACTTAGGATCCAATCTGTTTAGAGTATGTTTGGATAGTCAATTTATAAATTCTTTTTAAAAAAATTAATATTAAATTAGATTATCCAACTAAAATGTGTATTGTTCAGATTAATGATAAGGTAGATTTATTATAATTTTATAATTTTTATAATAAAATAAAATAAAATAAAAAAATAAAAGCAATAAATCTACACCATCCATATTTTTCATATGGACAGTCTAGATGCTCACCAAGTGATGAGCATCAAAATTGGACTCCTATGGTATCATAGTTAAGTTTGATAGTAATAAGTTGTTGCACTATGTTGCTCAAGGATAATTGAATGAACTAGTTTAACTTACTGCTTTGAATATAGGGAGAAAATGGAATTTAAGTCCTATAAGAAGAAATTAATTACAGTTGGGTCCTTGATAAATTTTTTTGAAAAAACAGTTGTAAATATCGATTTAGATAGTTGCAAATTTAAAAGCTTCAATTGCAAATACGATGTTTGAATTCTAAATATAACAATTAGTTTGCAATTCATATTCTTGTTTATAACTGTTTGAATTGATATTTATAATTTATTTAATGGAAAATTTTGTTGAGAACTTAACTGTCTTTAATTTATCCTTTTGAAACTTTATTGTCATTCTCTCTTGTGCATATGCTTTTGAAATTCGTGTTGCCAGGGAAGGGTGGGGGGGTTGGGAAAAATATTGAAGCAGCAGTTAGCCGCATAGTAAGTTTGCTGATTGAAAATGGAGACTGCCTCTTTTTCGAGCTTTGCATAATAATGCTAACGAATTGTACATCATAGTTTGTCCGGGTTTCCAATTAGATGTCTGAAGTGGGAAGTTGCTTATAGGATACCCTATGCCTGGGACACGGTTCTATGGAGAGGTGCTTATTTGTGCCCTTCCAGTATTTCAATGAATCCAACAGTAACCCTTTCTCACTATGAGTTCGGGGTCATTGTGGTCAAAGGTTTGGATATAATATAGAAAAATCAAGTGGCAGCTTGTTAGACCCTAGGGACTCATAAGATAAACATGATTGTTTGTGTTTTCATATCTTGGTTTTAGCAAATTGTTTGTGCTAGATTTGTTTGGCGGACACATTTTTTTTATAGCATGGTGGACACCATTTGCGATGCACAAGTTTGAGACCCTCAGTATATGGTTAATATATCCAATCACAGATTGCAGAAGCTCTTTATGCTGGATTTTCATGATTAAACTTCGTTCTGAGTTATATTTGTTGAACAAGCTAGTGAGTTGTATGTATACTACTTCCTTTTAAGAACTTGTGAGCTGACATTAACCTTGCTGCCGAGGGATTAGGTGTTGAGCTAAGCAATTCGATTTTGATGAATGTTGTCAAATTTGATATGGTGCATTCTGGAATAAGCTAACTATCATGTGTCCTTACGCAAATATCATGCCAGGTAAAGGAACGTGCAGTAGAACTTGCCAAAGCCATGGAAAATGAAGATGGTGTAGAAGGAGCTGTGAAAGCATTTTTTAAGCAGCTTCCTCGGAAAAAACCAGAGCCAGAGCCAGAGCCAGCGCCCTCAAGTTTTTTATCTATAAGTAGATGTTTTGGTTGTTCTTGATTTGATGCAAATTGTTCAGTCCCCAACTCATTTCATCTATATTTTTAATTGATGCTATGATCATAAGATGTGCTCAACCCTTCTCCCTTACCATAAGGTTACTGATTACTGTGCATGCTTTTCTTGACAAAATTCAATTTTAGTGTTGATGCATGTAATTATTTTAATTCGGGATGATTGATACTTAACTTACAGTACGATCGGAGGTTGAATTGTACTTCTTTATTTTGTTTGCTTTGATCAAAGCAGTATATTCATTCTTTCTTAATTATTACTAATATACAGTGTTAAGGGCTTGTATTTTACATCCTTCAAGATCAATAGACGAGGTTTCGTTTTTGTCATCTTAGTTCTTTATTTACCATCAGCTTGTCACTGGGAATATTATTACAACTTACATGGTTGGCGAACTTGTTTGTTGATTTCAATGCAGTGGATTTAGTGTAGCAATACTTTTTAAGTGAAGCAGTATGGTTCTTTCAATGAGGAACTTGTGCTCCGGGTTTTTTATTTTATTATTATTATTATTTTTTTTTTTTGGGTCAGGGGAGGGGTGGTGGGATATTATATCCCATCACGTGAGCATCATGTACATAGAACAACTTGCAGCAGAAAATGTTGAGACGTGCACCTTAACAAGTTTGGTCTGTTAATAATTAAATGTACTCCTATCCCAGCCTATTCCCCACAACAAACATTTGAATTAGAATTTTGCCTTTGGCAGTCTCCAGGAATGCATGATAATTTAATTTAGAACTTACTAGTTTTGGTAAATAATAATTTATTAATTAAAGAATAATAATTACATTTAAAACTAAAATTATAATAATATAAATAAATTGTTCCTTTTTTTTGTGAAAAGTTATACTGAATAGATTAATATGGCTTGTTATATGAATATGCTTTCTATGTTTTATCTTGGCTACTAAAATTTGATAAGTTTTTGAGCTCAACTATCTTATTAATTTATAAAGTACAAAATATTAAAAGTAGATGTTGCAAAGTTGTAAAATTTATATATGTAATTTTTTCTAAAGTGAGGGGGTATATTTGCACCCTTCACTGTGATATAATGTGACCATTGCCTTTTTGATAAGCCAGCGTTTAGACAAAATACTAAAATACTGACAGGCTAATTTTCATGAGATATGTTAAAACTAAATTACAGCAGAAGTTAGAAGAGTGATGTAAAGGGGATAACTGATTGGATTGAACAAGTCTGGAAAAGGACTTGAAAGCAAAGGGGGCATGCAAGGAGTGGGCAATTGCAAGGTGGTGGCAGCGGATAATGGAAGAGTAGAGAATGAATAGGTAGAAGTATGGATGTTAGGAGTCAGTAGGGGCTTAGCCCCATAATCTCCCAATTCGAAGTGCTCTGTGGTCAGAGCATTTATGGGCGAAAGGGAAGGAAAGAGCCAACAATTCATCCCATCCATTATTACTGCCCAATGCTCTCTGCACAATGCTCTTACTTACTCCCAACCTTCTCTTTCCATTTTCATTGGTCCCTTCTGCCGTTATGCTCTTTCAGCCTCCCTCAATCAATGCTCTCCTCTCCTCTGTTTTCTCTGCTTTGTGTTAATCAGGATTTATGCTCCCTTCGTTCATAATTATAAGATACTTTTGATTGATTTACATTTACTTAATGAAATTTAAATTTACATATTCTTTCTATATTTACTCTTAACTTTTAGTTGGTGCAATGCTATAGTAAAACTTTAAAAAATAATGCAATCTTGCTATAAAGTAACACTTAAATAGGATTGGAGGGAGTATATACTCTTTCCAACCCCATATATAAGTCATCTTTTAAAGGAAATTTATAGTCTTTTTCATAAGTCAGTTTGTATAAAAAAGTTTGTCATTAATAACTTTTTTCTAATCTTATCCCTCTGTAATTTTCGATGAGTAGAGAGTAAAAAATTGCACAATTGAGAACCTCATGTTGCCAATCTTAGCCAGGGACGAGGGACATAAGATGTTTTGTTTGAGAAATGACTCTCCAAAGGCCCTTAATCTGATCAAGGATGGAAATAATGATGTTCATGAAATTTGGAACTTGATCCTTGAAATGCCACAATATGTTTTCTCTTGATTGGACTGTTGAACTTGGATTTCTTCGGAGAGAAAAACGTGGAAGTTGATAATCTTGCAAAACTAGCACCGGCATTGCATCCCAGTCTTCACTTTTGCTTGTTGAGAATCTTGGTTTTCTTCCTTCTTTTTTTGTAGAGTAGCCGATTTTTTTTTAGTTTTCTTCATTTATAATTTATTTTTAAAAATGATTCATTTAATAAAAATAAATTATAAAATTTTTTTAAGATAATATCAATAATTTAAATATTGTAATGTAGTTAGAAAAAACTTATAAATAAAATTGTAGGTAGTTTCTTTGGACTATAATCTAAAATATTAATAACTAATTTACAGCTCTAAAGTATATTGATTGAAACTTTAATTTCTTAAAAAAGATTTACATCTTTTAAATTATATATTCATTAAATACTTTATACAAGGTATCTTTTTTTTTAACGCATCATTAAAAAAAAGAGTAATAAATAAAGTAGAAATATAATTTAAAAAATAATTATAAAAGTTATCAAATATTTTATATTTTGGACCACGTAAAATTTTTAGAACATGTCATTTTTATCAGGGTTAATAAGTGAATAAGACCCTGAATTATTACTCAAAAATTGCCTTAGACCCTGAACTTTTAAAACATATAAAATAAACTCTAACTGTTAACTTTTTTAACACTGTTACTGCCTATGCAGGTATTATAATAATTAAAATTGAATTTGTAGAAAAATAAATCATAAAAATTTAGTAACAGTATTAAAAATTTAGTAATTAGAGTTTATTTGCATATTTAAAGAGTTTAGAATTCAAAATAATTTTCAAACAATAGTTTAGGATTCTATTTGTTCATGTCAATCTATGCACGAAATGGAGGGAGTAGTTTCTTGGTGCCAATCTATGCACGAAATGGAAGCATTTGTAATTAATTTTTTAATAGCGAAACTAGTTGACGAGTCAAAATGTGGAAGGGCAAGTGATGAATGTTGAATGGTGGAAAGAACTACAAGGGGGCAATAATTATGAAGACAAGAAGCCAAAGAAACGCTGATGAAACGGCGAGGCTGTCAGAGACAAGTTGGGAACTATGGGGTGGCACCATGCTAATACGAAAACAAAGTAATTGGTGGAATGAATCAAATGCTGTGTTTGGGAAGCGCGAAATGTGTCTTATCTCTTCTCTTCCACTTCCCAAGCCCATACGCACACCTCTCTCCATCCCTATTCTCAACTATTTATAGCCGCCACCGCCCTGCTTTGCCATTCTCAACACTGTGTATTGATGGACATGGAAGATGAGGAAAAGGCAGTCCGAAGGGTGGGAGAAGGAGGAGGAGAAGAATGTCGAGTTTTCCAATGCCAGTTCTGTTCAAGAAAGTTCTACAGCTCTCAAGCTTTGGGAGGACACCAAAATGCCCACAAAAAAGAGAGAACGGCTGCCAGAAAGGCTAAAAGGGCATCGGAGTGCTCCTCTGCTTGCCCTCCCCTGTTCCTCGCTTCTCACGCTTCAAGTCTTCACTACTTCCAACCCCATCAGATTTTTTACCCTTTCAGACCCAACGCTGCACCTACATTCGGCGGCAATTCTCTGTTTTGTGAAGATGTTGGCGACAGAGGCTTGGGGAATTGGCACAGCAACATGTCACTCACAAGCGACGACCACAGCATTGGCATCTTGAATCGTTGTCAAGAGAAAGATCAAAATCTTGATTTGACTCTGCGTCTATAGGCTTGTTGAGATGAAATAATGCATCGTACTGAGCATGACTGCTCTTTCTGGGTTTGGTTTCCTCCCCCATATACCCATACTATGTACTATGACTTTTTTTTTCCCCCGCCCAGATAACTGAGGTTGTTGCATTGATTGAGAATGAACAGAGAAGATTTTTATTAAAAGAATAGTGTGTAAAAGTTGCATCGATCTTGTGGGTGAATCCCAAAAAGGAATATGGTGAGTGTGGAGAAGAGTGGACGTGGAAGAGCGAGTCCGGAAGGGCGTTGGGAGTAGAAAATATAAATGCTGAAGTTGATAGTACGCATCAGTACTAATTCCGAGTGAATTGAATATTTAATGGCGGGGACCGTTGACCTTTGTGAGTGCACAGAATGTTGATTTGAAGGCTCCAGCATATATTTGCACTTGGAATGTTCACAAAATTTTATTTTATTTTTGCTACATGTTGTTCTAAAACTTCAATGAGTCCAAAAGAAAAAATAATTATATTTATATTTTTTATCCTTAACTCTAACTATTAATGATGAATTAAATTTAAAAAAATAGTTATATCAATAAATTTTAATGAGAGATTTCATATCAGAAAGTCAAAAAGATATAAATGGGGAATGATGTGATAAACTCCTAGGCTACACAACAAATTAGATTAATAAATGTAAGGATAAGATGGGAAAAAATAATTTTTAAAGGTTTATATCTTAAACTGGAGAAAGTATAAAATAATTTTGACAAAATTATAAATAGAAAAAATTACTAAATAAACTCTACAACTTTATTTTTTAAAAAAATATAAATTTTAAATTTTTTTAAAAATATCTTTTATTTAATAAAATTAAAAAGAAAGAATATAATAAGAAGGAAAGATTAATATTGAAAAATATATATTTAATAAAATTTTTTTAAATTGTTTTATGTTTTGAAACACTAAATTATTTTCAAAGATTTCACTTCACAAATTACATTCCAAAGCTAATATTGATGTCGAGACCACTTAAATACATCACACACATGCAACTAACCTGAACAAGTCATCACATTATCATTAAACACACAAATTCATCATTTGGGCACAGCCACAGAATTACAAGAGATAGAAATTCATAAATTTGGATTATCCACACGTTCATCATAGATCATCATCCCATGGATGATATCAAGGAGGGTAGAATCAAAAGTGTATATCCATGTGTCAATACAATAAAAAATGCCTTAGGTCGTTAAAATCAGAACAAAATGTGATAACAAAGGAGGGTTTTACCCCACACACCCTTAAGCTTCTAGTGCTCCTTGTGTCTACTAAATGGACCCTCACCTGTAAAAATTAATAACAATGAAAAATGAGACAAAAAAGTTTTAGTAACTAAAATTAAAATATAATTATGCATATTATGCAACTAATTATATGATTGGTAAGTGAGAAATAACAAAACATATTCAACATATTACAAACAATACAAAATCAATCCAAGCAAGGATTAATATGCATGACCAGCAACCTTGTTTTCTCATTTCTCCAGACTTATGTCCTCATTTGGTACTAACTAACATGGTAAGTTAGTTTGATTCTTACAAGCCACTTATTCAATTTAATAGGGGCGCATTATGAGACACCTTGACAAATAAAACATTTCCCCAACACCTTTCAAACCTAACAAGCCATACCAACAAGTTAAATCACAATATACAATTCCAAACAAATAATAATCTCCCACACACGCGCACGTGAAGAGAGAGAGAGAGATTCATCCCACTTGGCAATATAATTTTACAAATAACATTCATATCATTTCCAGTCAATACATAATTCCATCTCACTTGGTAGTATAATTTTACAAACAACATTTATATCATCTTCCAAACACAATCTTCATTAACAGACACTCAATCAATCACATGCTCACACGAAAATGAATTAGAGGTTACATTTATACCTCTACAAAATAGTTCCCCATGTGGTCAATTTCTCACCACTATCCCTTTCAACATCACAATATACAAAAATTATATGCTTTATTCTCTCTGATTCTATTTATAGAGTAGAGAGAGAAGAATTTTTTAGTTTTATTTATAAGTTACGTCATTAAATTTTTATTACAAATTTTCTCTTTTACCCTCCATTGAATGATAGAGAGAGAAAATATATTATTAAAGTGTATAAATTTAATAGGAAAAAAAATTAAGAACTTATTAAATTTTAAAACAAAATTAATGAGTTTTAAGGTTTCCTCAATATTGATAAAACATGTTGAAAGTAATATATAAATAAAACTAGAGGAGTATATTATTAATCTCAAGCTTACAACATGATGTCTCCCTAATTCAAGGATTAGGTTAGTCAAACCTCACATCCAACACTCTTCCATACATCCCAACCTTCAAATTTACTCATTTCTATCATCATTAACTTTATAACTTATATATTTAGTCCTTCATCATCAAAATCTCCAAATCTCACCCAACAAACCTTGGGCTTTGGATTTAACATCACTACCCAACATTTTGACAACAAAACAACCTTACAACCACTTATTTAACACTAAACAACCTCAAACATCTAAGTTCATGGCTGGGATCAACACCCATAGAAAACACACTAGTCATTCCCCTTCAAGAACTAACTTAAGAGGATGATTAGAAGATAGAGAAGAGATTAGAGATGTTAGCTTAAACCTCCAAGCCTAAAAAATCACACCCAAATTATGATAGGCGCCAAACCTTAATAGACCACTTAATTTTGACACCAACCTTCCTTTGCTTTCTGTCTCTTAGTCCATCTCTTTGTGAACCAAAGTTAAATTCTAATTCGACGCATGTGCCGTGACAGAGCTGCAGAATGCACTGTAACGCATGGTATAAAGGCGGCAATCAGCCCTAAGCCTATGTTGTTGGGCCCCAATCCAAGCCCAAACACCCCTTTGGGTCTACTGCAGCTTATATTTTCAGTCCTAGGCCCAACCAATAATAATCATATGCCTACTTGATTTATTAAACCTTAATTTAATTTACTCTCCCAAGTTAATTCCTAAATAAATATTCTGATATTACAACGCATATTTGGCATGCAAGAAGGAATGTTGTCATATTGTCTTTAAATTTTAATATGTACAAATATTTTGATCGTTTTATATTTTGAAACAAAGCGAGTGTATTAGAAGATTGTAGAATTCCACTTAAGATTAATTATGTGCATACACCACCATTCAGAGAACTCAGAAGTGGATGAGAATGAAGCTTCATGCCTCTCAGTCTCAACCACAGTACCTGTAGGAGCCAGGTTTTGGTTCTTAAATTCACGCCTTAGTTTTTTTCAACCTCTAAATCTAAATCCTTGATTTTTCTGTGACATGTATTGATATTCATGATATAGTAGTAGCAATATACAGAGAAGAAATGAATGAGGGGTTTCGCTTCGGCACATGGTATGATTGAGCATGGGCAGACAATTTATGTCCAAAACTAGTTATTCCATCGTAGTCCCTTTCCACAGCCCACGATGTGAAGGCCTATACACGTCATCTTCATTCCATAGAGAAATGGATGACACCAGGGAAAAAAAAAAAACATATCAGGGTGCCCCTATTATCTACATTTAATCATCAATTGTGTCTTGAACATGATTGCCTTGATAAAGAAAACAAAATCATGGAGTTGCATATATAATCTAAGACTCTGAGAAGTGGTGGGTAAGGCTGAAATGAGAAGCTGGCATTTGTCTTTGTGGGGATTTTCCTCAGCGTTACAGCAAATTTCCCACTCATCCTCACATGATCCTTTCTATGCCTTCATTATCCATTTCCTATCATCAACAAGCCTCATACTTTCCTTTTCTTGTCATCCATTTCCATTATTATTATATATTTTAATTATGAGCCTAATTAATGCCACGCCACTGACAGCGCCTGATGATCATATACATGTATTGCCTTGCATGTCTTCTTATAAGTGCAATTGACTTATTGTACTATTGTTTTCATATTGCCACAAGGTTTTTCATTCTTCAACGAAATGTGCCACCACATAAAACAAGGGACGGAATCCTGCAGGCCACCGTTCATGTACTCGCCTCTCATAATTCTTTCACATACTTTTATAATTTTTTTTCTAGAGTTTAAAATAAAGAAACTTATAAAAACAATATAACAAGTGCATGCATGTGATTTGCTTGTCTTATCATCATCTCCTTCTTTGCTTTCTATTTTTTCAGAAAATTCCATAAATATCTCACAGACAAAAGGGTTTTCTCTGCGCATAATATTAAACTTCTCAGGATATCATATTTTATGTACGTACGATTCGCATATACTTGAGAATACCCTCTGTGTATAATATAAACCATTTCTTAATTTATTGGTAGGGCCAAAATTTCCGGAGGGAAGCACGCAAGTGTGTTCATCAATTAATCATCATTCATCACCAAGGATTAAGTGTATTTCTTTTTTCTTTTTGAATATTTTTATACCTGGCTGTATCATATGCCATGTCTATTAATCAAGGCGCAACATAAGGATATTTCTCTCGAGAGAAAGAGCAAATTATAATTATAGATGAATAAGCGCTAACTAGAAATGGAGCTTTGAAAGAAAGGAAACTTCGTTGTTTATAATATGAAGCCCTTTTACATCATTTCCTTTATAGTTAGTCCTAATAATGAGGTCAAAATTGTTATTAGTTGTGCTTTAGATTCCTTAGCTGAGCTAATTAATATTGTCTTTATTGGCATGTGAAAACGTTAGGGCTCTAAGCAGTGGGAGATATATAGCTTGTTCACATGTCACCGCCTGATAATAATATTGTCTGGTCGATCCCGTGCGAACACACACACATATACAAGCACGAACATATCCTCATCCAAACTAATTATTGCATCAAAATAATTAAATTAAAGAGCTGTTGATTTGCAATAAAAGTAAAGTGTTCTATTGTCTTGCAAGCATATGCTACAATAACCTCTAATTTTGCAGTTTGTTAATTAGAGATTTAATTAAGTTGATGAT